GGGAGATATAATCTTAAAACTTTCTGAAGTTGCCATACAGATAATCATCTGCCACATCAAATTTTTTTCCTGTACAAGAAACTGAATCGACCATGATTTATCTGTTTTAGTTTACTCTCTGAATTAAAAAAAACTATGTACACTGATTAATTTAAGATGCAAAATCAACTTTGTATATTATAGTGACTGATTCGCCGGTAACTGCTGAAGTTGGACACTTACTCTTCTGCTGTGACATTAATGCAGAACGATCTGTTACCCTCACTTGAGCTGGTTACTAAGATGATAGAGGATGTAGAACTTCTTGAAGAAAAAGCTAAAGTAGCCAAGCGTGAATCATCTATTTCTGGTACAAGCATTCTCACCAAAGTTGAGGAGCTCAAAGAAATGTTGAATCATGCAAAAGAAGCAAATGATATGGTTCGTCCTTTTATCCCCTGATCAAACTTTATAAAAGAGAGAACTCTTTAGTTGTCTAACCTAAAGGAGTCATCAATTGTGCTATATGTAGCATGCTGGTGAGGTTTTCGGCGAGAGATCTATTTTGACCACGGAGGCACGGGAGCTCCAATCTCGACTTCAGAGGCTGTCAGACGAGAGGAATAGTTATCTAGTTGTTATTGAAGAGGTATTATCTTAATGCTTTCTTTGATGGTATTTTCTTCATCTACTGAGCTTCCTGACAGAACATGGAATGGATGGTCCATCATGTTTTATTTGTCTTCAGTTGTTTGTCCTTTAATGATGTTGTTACACAAAATAATTTTATGAGAAAGCATAATTACCTAGTACAAGTTAAAAAAAATTAAATTTCATATTGGATATATTGAGTTGCAGAAGTATTTTTAGATTATAAAAGTTGAGTTGCATCTAAACACATCTCTGATCTGATCTATATATAGATAAGGCAAACTCTCGAGGAAAGATTGGTTGCTGCACAACAGGAATATGAAGCAGCTGTGAAGGAAAAAGACGAAAAGGAAGCTTCTGCTCAGGCACTACTTAGTGAACAGGAAAAGGAGATGAATTCCATTGTTGAAGAATCAAGAAAGTTGCAGAAAGAAGCGGAGGAGAATTTGAAGGTATTTCCGTGCAGCCTTTATATGCTTTACCTTTGTGTCTGTAACTTTCCTGATAATAAATAGTATAAACTTTGGACTGCTATCAACATCTGATACTGAATATCATTATTTACTGTATAATAATATCTTTTATGGGTACTGCTCAAAGTGTCTCTTAATTAAATCTGCAGAGCAATAGTTAATCCCTTTAAAGGTAAAAATGCTTCTTTATGTTTGATACTCCCTCCGTTCCATATTAAGCGTCGCTGATTTAAAGTTTGTACTAAATCAGTGACACTTAATATGGAACAGAGGGATTACTGATTATCATTATTTATGCTGTCTTAGAAAAGGTTTTATGGGTAGTGTTGTTCTTATGGAGTTTATACACATCTGTCTTTTAGCACTGCTAGAAGTAGTATGTGTTGGGAGCCCATATTATGAATTAGTTTGAAATTGATTTCAATTGTTGATGGCGCATGTGTATTGTTGGATGTGCAGCTGAAGGAGTTCTTGGTTGAGCGGGGTCGAATTGTTGATACACTACAGTAAGTTATCATTTCATGTCAGCTACTTCGTGTCGCTAAAGTTTTCCATAGCAAGTAGCTTATTTAACTAATTATCTCTGAAATTAAACTGAATTTTGATGACTCTGGAACTTCAGATTATCTTGTGCCATCTTTGGAAGTTAACAACATGCTTACCACTCTTGCACCTTTCAGATTATGTAGTTTGGCTATTTTTCAGACAATATATAATAGTCTTCTCAGTGAAGCAAGAAATGACATTGTAAATAAGATGATTCTTGTAGCACTTCTGTTCAGAAATAAGTGACATTTTAGAACTCATGCATTCAAACTCCCCTGGGTGGACAACTAATATACCACCTCTTTACACTAATATGAATTGAACTGCAAAAACGTCTTACATTAGCTTACAGAGGCAGCAAAACCTTTTTTTTTGCAAACTATTCTTTCTGAGAAGGCAAGGGGAATTATGTTCTACTCCCTCCGTTCCTAAATATTTGTCTTTCTAGACATTTCAAACAGACTGGAACATACAGATGTATGTAGACATATTTTAGAGTGTAGATACACTCATTTTGTTCCGTATGTAGTCACTTGTTGAAATCTCTAGAAAGACAAATATTTAGGAACGGAGGGAGTATTAGAGTTTTCATGCAAACTATTTTTGCAATAATATCGCCCCGACATATTAGTACAAAGAATAACGTTAAAGTTAGACATTGGGAAGTGGGAACCATGCCCATGTCTTCAACATCATCTATTTACAAATAGTGAGTATTCCATTTGTTTTTTGTTTGTTTGTTATTTCAGTGATGTTTGGAACTGTTCAGGCATCTAATCTGAAGGATCAGTCAAAACTATAAATATTTAAATTCTTGATAATGCTGTGTCAGTTTATAGACGGAGTACTGAAACATATCCTTGTCCTTATGCAGAGGTGAGATGGCTGTCATTTGCGAGGATGTGTCTCAACTTAAGCAAATAGTGGATGAGCGCTTATCTTGGAGCAAGTTGCAGCGATCAACAATGTCAAGTCTCTCCTCTTCGCTGCATTCTTCGCTTCACAGGAGTGCTAGTTCGTCAGACAGGACCACCGAAGCCGTTGAGTCTAAAGATAAACATACAGTTGCTGAAGTTGCAAGGCCAGTGGCTGAGGATCCGGATGTCGACGGGAGAAAGGTTGAAATGTTAGATGGCTGTGACAGTGAAGGTGCAAGCTCTGTGGGTGAAGACAACAGCAAGCAGCGGGGTTCCAACGAGGATGGCTGGGAACTGTGCTGAACTGAAGATGGCTGAAGATCGTCAGGGTTTGCCTGAGTTTGCTCCATATAAATAAATAAAAATGGCGGTAATAATCATTTAGAACCGTCTCTATTTTGTGCGAGCAAAATTAGTGAACTTGCGGGACTTGTCATGGAATAGCTTTGCCTTTTGGGAGGCGACTGAATATCAGTAAGTTAAAATGGTGCTGACATGATATGTATATACCGAGATTCTAGCTTAATCTATAGTATAAATAAATGATTGGTGCCATGTCAATGCCAATTTTATTGCACAGTCGCTTGGTCTCAGCACATGCAGTTTTAGCTTTGTCCTAACTCAATCTCCTTTTATGAAAATATATGTAGTAGTAGATGCTAATATGATTTCTATAAACTTGAATCAGATGTAACAGAATTTTACCTAAGACAAAGAACTTCGAGTGAATTGATAACAGAATGAGTAATTTAAAATTAGGGGGAGGGGAGGGGTTATCACCTCTGTACCTTGTACCCACACGGATTGTAAATGCTTTTACATCTCTTTATTTAATTGTAGCCTATACCTTTAAGCTACATATTTTCTACCTTTTTTTTATTGTAGCATGATCCTACAAACTCTATACCTTGTAATTTGTAATTTGTGTGTGTGTGTGTGTGTGTGTGTGTGTGTGTGTGATGGAGGGGTATTACACCATGGGCAACGACCATGCGTGTAAAATATGTGAATATAAGCATGACGTGGGGCGTGTGTGAAGTGAGGCCGCTCGGGACATTGAGAAAGAGGAGTCAACAGCAACTCCAATGCGCCGACCCAAACGGACGATGATTTTGTTTGTTTTTTATCTGTTTGGGTAGGCCTGTCTTGTTTTTTTTTGGTCAGTCGTGCACCCAATGCTGGTGACTCATTTTATGTCCGCGCACAGATTTGAAAAGGCACGCGGCCATAGATCATGCCAACTACCATGCGGTCGTCCAAAGTTCATGCCAACGGTTGGCATACAATGCCAGCCTTCAAAAAACCCACCACACAGTTCATGCTGGCGCATTTGCCAGTGGGCGGCACACATGCCAGCACACAAAAGGGACGGAAAATTCGACCACACCATCTCGGCCGTGGTCATGCCATCACACTTTTGAGCATACAAAAAAGGGATGGCGGTCGTCGCCATAGATCACTCGTCGTCGAACTTGAGTATGTCGGCCCGCATCTTCTCGAACCATGGCCTCTTCCTCGACAACACGGTGTTGACAACGAAGAATTCTCAGCCGGTGTAGCCTACCGTCCTTTCTCGGGATTTGGGGATGCTGGGGGATGAATTCAAAGAGGGGATTTATTTG